CTTTCGTTCCCTTTCACCTCTTTCGTTCGTCCTCTTTCACTTCCCTCTTTCACCCTCTCTCACACCCTCTTTCGTTCGTCCGCTTTTTCACTCTCTTTCGTTCTCTCTCATCCCCTCTCTTTCATCTCACTCATTCACCCTCTTTTCGTCCTCTTTCACACCCCATTTTTCGTCTTCGTCCTCGGTTTCGTCGTCCTCTTTCGTTTCGCCCTCTTTTCGCCCTCTTTCGCGTCCTCTTTTTCGTTCATCATTCATTCAACCCTCTTTCGCCCTATCCCTCGTCTTCTCGTCTTCTCTTACCCTCATTCGTCCTCTCTCACCCTATCTCCAAAAATCATAAAAATGAAAAGGTCAAGCCATGTTCAAAAGAAGGTCTTCAAAATTTAAACCTAGTCTGTACAATGAAAAATAATTACTCGTAATTCCAGAGTTCCAATTTGGTAATATCGAATAATGTATTTTTTTCAAGTAATGGCAGTAGAGTTAAATACATACCTACGTATATGCAGTTTTTGCTGTTAAATGTACTTGAACGAAAAAAATAATTAAATGATTTAAATATAGCACATTTTAAATCAAGAAACTTATACTATAATCGAACTCTGTTTAGAAAGAATGTTTTTTTCAATCACAATCACATACCATTTTCTATTATTTCTCTTATTATTATCAATAATGTTATTCACCAAATAATTATAGTATGAATAATGTTTTTTGCGATTTATTTAACACATTCATAATATGTTAGGGTTATAAAGTTTTTATCTATAGGGTTTTTATTTAAATAAAATGAAGAATGTATATATCTGTATATTTATTTATGTCTATAATGTATCATATTATATATTATTATATACTATTCGGGTTTTCGCCGTCCCCGTCCTCGTCCGCCCCTCCTCGGCCTGTTGCCCCCGCCCCATATAAATGGGGCGAGGACAGTTTAAGGAGGAAGCGCATAAAGCGCTCCTCCTGGACGCGAACTCCGGCGCGGTCTTCCTCTCTGTAAACTGTAATTAAAAAAGAAATTTATTAGTAATTAGCTAATATGGTCTATTTAGGTATATTATCTAGGTAGGTAT